TTGGCTCGGAGTAGTTTTGGCTGGTTTGGGGGCGGGGGTTGGGGGCGTTTGGGTTGGCTGGGTTGGGGGGGGGGGGGGGTTGGGGAGGTTGGGTTGGGGAGGTTGGGTTGGGCGGTTGGGGAGGTTGGGTTGCGGGGTTGGGGAGGTTGGGTGGGGGGTTGGGGGGATTGGGGCTTCAAATTTCAGTGGATTGTGATGCACACACCTCGATGGCCCATACACCCGGAATGTGATACCAGCGGGCGAGGCACTCATGGATCATACAGGGCGAATATCCAGATTTCGGGATTTTGGACACTAGAGAGCTCTTTGAAAGCAACTTCATGGCCTCCTGACAGTTGAAGGTTTTTCCACGTCACCTGGCACATGGCAGGAGTTTGTGGACAAGGGCGAGGACTGGCTCGCAGAGCCCGCGCTATGGACGGACAACTGGTGCCCATGGCAAGTGGAGAAACGCTTCTTCAGCAATGATGATGAAGTATGGGTGTGTTCTTCAGATGAACGTTGAGCCGGCTGCTGTCAAGGTGGGTAGGTGGGTGAGCGATTTCAGATTTGGTGCATTGTTTCAGGGTCTTGACGTTTTAGGGTAAGATTGAGTAAGGGTCGTGTGTTGCTTAGTTGCTGCAGGAATTAATTCGAAGGCTGATTTCGCGCTTGCTGCCCTGAAGTGGGGGTTGCTTTCGCGACGGTTTTGGCGCCCGGACAGGGCAATTAGCTTCCAGGTACCACGTGGGCGAAGCGAAAGCCCACACAGATTGCGAAGTTCTCCTGATCGACCCCAAGGCACTTGCGCGCCAACGAACTCGCTGGTGACATGTGGTACCCAAAAAGCAGCGGCCTTGAGCGGGTTGTGTTCTAAGGGAGGTCCCTTTTGAATTTTCGGCATATGCGTGGGGGATTTTTCTCGCATGCCTGCGCATGAGACCCCCAACTTCGATTCAAGTGGAAGCTGTTCCAGCGCCGATTTCCGGAAGCGAAGGCCTTTGAGGAGATCTTGAATGTCGCAGCTTGGCTGAGACTGGCGAGTCTGGGTACATGACCTGGGATACTGCGGCCAAACACAGACCCAAGTGCAAGTTGAGTGTGCGGATCATGCCGAGTCTGTAGCTTCTCATGTGGACAAACACGCCAATGTGAACAGACAGAACCACACACACACACAAAAGCACAAGGACACAAACCCAGACTGATGTTTTCAGACTGTATCGTCCTGTTGCATTGGCATGGACTGCCACCTGACTCCGTCCGTTGGCCATTAGGTGAAACCCGTGGCAGCCATCGTGGCCACGTACTGCAGGCAGTATGCGCACGAGGGCATCGATCTGCGCAAAATTGGTATGATTTTTCGAGTGGGAAGCTGCAGATTTGCTTGGCGGACATGAATCCATGTGGGTGATAATCCACAGGTTCTCTACCTGAAAAAGCGAAAAAGCATAGCAGGAGCGGCTATGACCCTCCCCAGTTGTTCAACGCCCGTTTTCCTGTTTCTCCCGTTGGTCCCACGCCGAAAACGAGCGACCAAGGGGAGTTCCCTGTTTCCAAGGGAGATGGAGAGTTTGTGCAGATCAGCATTGTAGTCACTAAGTACTGCTTGACCACACATTGCAACTGAAGCACACAGAAATCAACCGCCGGTTGGTAACGGCGTTGAAGGCTTCCTGCTCGATAGCGACAGGCGCTTCATGGCGTGGCTGGAAACCCTGGAGACGCAGGAGGGCATGCTCACCGACGTCATCCAAGGCGCCTCTGGGGAGGGGAAGGTGTCACTGACCGGCAAACCATGTTTGCCATTCAGGTGCCTGGATGCTCCACACATCTTTTCTTGCATGTCTAGAGGTATCAGCGCGAATCTCATCATTTCTCCGGCAAGGTGACCAGGTGTCCGACAGCATCCAGAGCTTTCTCCCCATGTGGCAACTTGCCTGCGAGCGCGCGGGCATCGTTTGTGTCTTAGCGCCTGACGGTCAGGGCGGGGCCTCCTTTGGGCTCAGCGCTTGTTGGGGTTGGACGAGTCCGGGGTGCCTCTCAGCGGCAACCCTCCTCTCTCCCATTCTCCGGAACCCTACCTCAGTACCTCGCCCACCCTGGAGCCTATCTGGGCAAAGACCCCAAAGGTTTCAGCTTGGGGAAAAATAGAAACAGAACGCCAAGTATGTCCAGACAAATGCGGCACAGGCAGCATGCCAGGGATCCAAAGTCCTTTTTGCAAATGATGCCATTCGGCGCAGCAACTTTCTGGCAAGCCATTCGATGGCGAGGTTTCTGGTGCCACATCTTTCGGTTGTATTCTATTTGTGATGGGAGTTTAGCTCGTAGATTGTAGCCTGTTGCTTCCGGTCAAAAGTGGGATGGTTTGCATGACTTCTATTCTGCGAGCATGTACTACAAAAACATCAACCAGTGATAGAAGTTTAAGTGACTCTGCTGTAAACTGCAGTTTTTGTAGCATTGATCATGGAAGCAAACGAAAACAAATTGCATTGAAGCTCGATCCCTGCAATGAAAGGTGTTCGGGCCTGCTCTTGCTGCAACTTTCCTGCACACCTTGAACAGAAACGGGTATTTGAGACCGTGTGCTGCTGCCTTGCGCAGTGTCCGTTTCTGCACCATCAGAGGGATGTGATATCTGCCGCCTGCGATTTAAAGAGCGAAGTGAGTGGCAGAACTTTGGGAAGACCGCCCAAAGTCGGGTTTCGCAAATCGAGCCGAGGATGGTGGAGGTGCCGGAAGATTCCCCGGCCAACTTGGAGCACGATGCCTCGAAGAGGCCTTGGCGAGCCTGGACCTTAGTGCAAAACCAGGCGGCAGTTGGCTCACCGTGCCTTGGGGAAGGCGGGTTTTGTTTGGATTCGCCGGGGGCTGGAAAGCATTGACCTGATGCTTTTGTGAAGGGAGCGGCAGTGGCAGCAAAAAGGCAGAAAAGGGCAGAAAAGGGCAGAAAAGGCAGAAGACAACTGTTTCCAGCTGGGCTTTTTCGGGCGCCAGGCGCGGTTCAAGCGGTCCTTCTCCTCCAGTTTGGGCTTGTCCTTCTGGCGGCGGTGACGCGCGGGAGCGACCAAAAGCCAGGGCTTTGTGCTGTGAGGCTTGCAAAGCTTCTCGGCCAAACATTCCAGGGGCAAAGCCCCGGAAAAAAAAGCAAAAAAACCAACAACAACAACAACAAAAACCGATCTTTCTGCAGGGCATTTTCAGCTGGGCAAACGAACGGCGCCCCGAAACGCAGCGGAGAATATCGCGTACGCGGCTGTTCCTCGGGAGATCTTTTCGCAGACGTTCCGAAGACATGGAATTGTCAAGGCTGTGCTAAACAAACAGTTTATATGGCTGTGGATCAAAACCAATGGTACCATTTTGGGGTAGGTGCACCACCCATTTTGGTCTATTTTAGTGGGGATTGGGATGTTCACTGGGGGTACGGGCTTTTGACCCATGGCAATGTATTTTCTGACGTTTTGGTTTGTCTCTGTATCTCCGAGCCTTGCAAGAGTTTTCCCCACGACGAAGAAGAGGTAGCCCATCTCAAGTGAACAGTAGTGGGATTTTGTTCCGTGAACATCGGTGGTTGCAACTCGACGCTTTTCATGTTGGATACACAGAGCCTGGGTTAGACCCATCGACTTTGATTCCACGGGATCGAGTCTCCCGAGTGCAGCCTGGCACGCCCACGACGGATGCATGTGAGGGCCAAATCCCCTGTACATGTGACTCACGTAGCTTGCTCGGTCCCATAGCGTTGCCAGACAAGGCAATGCCGTCGGGTGAGCATCTAGCTTGGCGCTTCTTGCTGGGCCTCATGGCCATATCTGGCTGGATGGCGCTTCTCAGGCGCGAAAGTGCTCGACGTGGACTCCCGCCCTTCGCTTTTTGGCCCAGTTCATTTTGCACACGTACGAGGTCCTCGTACTGCAGAGGGTTAGGGAGCTCCAGCTCGAAGCACCATTTGGATGCGGATCAGGCTTGGAGTGTTTCACTGGTGACGCGGAGGGAGCCTTAGAGAAAGACTTACGGCCTGATTGCATGCCAGCCACATGCAGGCCTGCATGACAAATGAGCCACGAAGGTTAGTAAGGGGCAGTCCCAGCCAGAAATAGTTGCGGCCGCATTCTTAATTCTTTACATGGTTCTGGGTAGACCACTTTAATACCGGGTTTGATTGTGACTCAAATTACGATTGGCTCAGAGATTGTGGCCATCTCACTCATCCGTTTGATTCCCTTTTTGAACCATCTTAGGCTGCCACGAAGCCATTTTGGATACCTCTTTTTCTAGCTGGCTTTTTTTTTGGGGCGGTCCCTTTGGATTTGCAAATAGCTGTTCAGCTGTTCCCCTTGAAAAAGCAATCCGGATCTGTGTGATGAGACATGCTGCCATCCAGTGCAAAGATGGTTTCCTTGGACTATCCCACTTGCTTCTGTTGGCAGCGTTTAGCAATTTTCGGGGCTATCATGCCTCCCTTTTTGTGCTCCCTCTTGCAATCACCGATTTCGGCAAAGACCTCGCTGATTGTTTCACCAGTTCAACGCAGGGGAGACTGCACCAGACGGCGTACAGCGCCGGTCTGCTTGCGCCGCGATCGAGTAACATAGTGGCGCATTCAAGGGTGGGACACCCGCTGGCTCACTACTGTGGATGGGCGAAATCCATTTCGCACCACCTAAGAAACCCTGGAATGGTGATTCCCCTGTAAATACCAACAAACAATGGTCTCCCATGGTTTCAAAGTGGTGCAGGATTTCGTCCATCCACAGTACTTCCCATGCAATGGTTCGTTCCCTCACTCCTCAAGAGCTCATGTCTGCATGGGATGTCAGGATTCTGGGAACAAGTGTGCAGGTACTTGCATGCCAAGACTGCGTGAGCTATGCGACTGGCTGAGGATGGTCTGAGTCACAACGGCCCTAGGCTCCGCCAGCTTAACCGCATCGATTGCTTGATACCAACAGCGCGGGTTTTTCCGACCTAGGCCTCAAGCAGTGCCGTGGCAACAGCCCCCAGCGGATGTTTTCCTTTGGACTGGCGTTCCGAGTGCCTTCCGAGCCGCGCCATGAAGCTGCACACGGTGGGCTTCTGTGGGGTGGATGACTCCGTGGACCTGCCCCTCGGCGATGGGTCAAAATTAAGCCACCAGACCACAGGTTCTCGTCCTTGATTCCATTTACCCGGGCAACCCATGTTGGGTACCTATATCTCTATGGGTTTGTGACGCGTAAGATGGAGACCCCTTCCACCAGTTTGAATACTTTCTCCCAGCGAGGATAAGCGTGGGATGTCGATCTTGTTGCAAGGCGCGAGCTGATGAAACTGGACCAAGCCTTCCCTGGGCGCTGGCAGCTGAGCTGAAGATTTCTTCGCTATGGCGGGGAGGGGGAAAACACTTTCCGCAGTTCTCAGAAGCATTGCGCACAAGATCACTTCTCCTCGGCCCTCCGTTCCCCCCTTCCCCTCCTCCCCTTCCGCTTCCCCAACCTCACGCACCATCCCCCCCTCCCCCAAATCAGGGATATTTTGGTCTGAAAATGCACTGGGTGAGCCAGTATTTCGAGTGAACAAATAAAATGCATGGGTGTTTATGGTACCCCCCCACTCCACACAGCCCCCCCCCCCCCGCCGCCCAACCAACCCGCCTACCCCCCCCCTCGTCCCCTCCCCCCAACGCCGCCGCACCCGAGGATCGAGTGGGGCGTGCTGCTGCGCCCGGACCTGCAGGGCACCCCGCGCTACGCCAGCGCCGAAACGCTGCGGCGCCTGGGACGCCTGGCCAGAGGCTGGGGTGCGGCCGAAGGCGATGCAACGTGAGGAGGTGGAGCCAAGGGTTCATGGTTGCACTTCTTGGTGGTTGGGAAACATCTACAAATTTTGGCTTGTTGTGGTTTGGGGGTTGAAATCCAACCGCTGAACTGCGAAAAATTAGAGTTTTGCTCCCCTTGCAACGTCAACCAAGGGTCCGTGATACATGGGATGACCAGGGAAACCACCAAAGAGTCGCGACTTGCAAAACCACCGAACGGGAAAGGCTTTTTTTTCATGGGTCCTATGAGGGATCAAACCTCATGTACGATGCTATTTTTGGTTACCGTGTTCTTTGGTTCCACCCCAGAAAGGTCGGGTGGATTGGGGGAAGCCCCAGTTCCTTTTGAAGGGAACATCCCAATTTGAAGGGAACATCCCAAACCACCCCTTGAGTCACGTGCTAGCCCGGCGAATTGGAGGGCAAGGGAACCTTGCCATAAATGGGTTCCAATTCTTGAAGCATGGGATTACGCCCATTTTGCCAGGTTTTGATGACTTGGAGCCTTTTGAACTCTTTGGCCGGGGCTTTGACTTTTGTTTTGAAGCCACTTGTTCTGAATGGTTGTTTTCTTGCTCTGTTTTTTTTTGCGCTCATGAGTCACGTGCTCAAAACCCCGGTAATTCGAGGGTAAGGGACAATCCCAGCTATAAATGGGTGCGGATATCCGCCTTCTGAATCCTTTGCATGGTTCTGGGTAAACCATTTTAACACCCTTTGATTGTGACTTATATGCTGACAGCTCTTTGAAAAGCCCCTGTTCCAGAAAGCGAACCCCAGATTTCAATTGACTGAGATATGGCCATGGGTCACAACCTATGCCCCCATTTTGAGGCGGATGAACACCCATGTACCACCTATTTGGATGTTCACGAGGGGGTTTTGCGGGTTTTGACCCACAGCCACTATCGATGGCTCAGCAAAAATCAGGCGAGGACCCGGAGCTGCCGGGGAGACTGCGCCTGGCCGCGCACATGTGCGGGCAGGACTGCCTGAGGCCGGCCTGGGGCGTGGCTTTGGATGTCCGGGGTTCGGGATAGATGTCACACAACCACGAGATACCAAGAGCACTGGCGGATTTCAATGGTTCACTTGGGTTCCGGCCCCATGATGGAAGCTTGGGCAGGGGAAGAATCAGTGGTCGACTTTTTTTTGGCTGGTGCGATGAAGCAAATCAGAGCATCACGAAAGCTTCCTTCAATGACTCTCGAATGCTGATGCTGGAAAACTGACATGGCTGTGGGTCAAAACTAAAGAGCTGGGGTTACGCAGGTTTTAGTCTTTCGTTTCATTTACCAAGGTGCCATGTTGGTACATGTTTTTGAGCCACAACCACATGTGACGGGTAGCAGCCGGGCCCCCCCTTCAGGGCCTGCAAACACGCCCTTGATGTCAGGGTCCTGGAGGGTGACCTGGTGCGCATCAAGGAGCTTCATGCGCTGCTGGGCTTTGAGCGGATGCAACTGAACCCCACCAAGGCGATTGGCTTGCGGCTTGGGCCGAGAGGGATGTTGCAAGGCCTACGGCTTGGTTTCACGTGTCGGGCTCGAAATTTCTTGGGGGAATGTGCGTAGTAAGATACGTTTATGGTTTGTATGTGGACATTTGAAGGACGTACGTAGCCCTTCATATACGTTGCAGAACACCCGCTTGTTTGAGCTCACGGCTGAATTGCAGCAAAGTTGCCAAGGTCTAGTCATGAGCTGTGTCGCAAGGCGTTTCGTCAACGGAGACGAGCTTCTCTTTGTTCGGCCTTCTTGGGGCAAAGTGCCGGTGTCTTGTTGCAACCGTGCCTCTTTGTTCCTGTCCCTGCAAACGGTAGCTGATGATCTATGAGCTGGACAGCTCTCCACCTTGAAGCACGCAAGCATAGGTGTCCTTTTGGTGAGTTTGGCTAAAACATAGAGGGCACTGGTAAATGACTAGAACCAAACTAAAACCAGCGCCCTCTATTTCTAACCAAACTAACCAAAAGGACACCTATGCACACGAGCTGGAACTCACAGCACAAAGAGCTCGAATGCTGCCAGTCAGAAGTGGTTTTAAAGGACTACCAAGAGGAGCATCGCCATTTTGGGGGGTCCAACCTTCAAGAAGACACACCCAAACGGAGGCCATTCAGATTCACCTCGCGTCGCTTTGCCTGGGCCAGCTGACAGCTCCATGGGTTTCTACTCCTTTCGCGGATCTCCTAATATGCAATGCTGGTTACGGGATGAGCGGCCCTCACTACCTTTCTATCTTGGATAGGCATAGTGTTTCGGGCTTTGAAGTTGGCACACAAAGTCGAGCACCACCCAACCACTCAGCCAACCAGCCAACCCACCCACCGACCCATCCGGCAACCCGACCCGGCCCGACCCGAGCCCCGCCCAACCCAACCACACCAACCAAGCAATCAACCCTAAACCCCTAAACCTTAAACCCTAAACCCCTAACCACTGAACCCTAAACCCCCAAACCCTCCCTACGAGTTCTTGCAGCTTTGGCCGCTGTTCCTTCGCCAGGCCAACGAGGCCTCGGGCTGGGTGCCCGAGGTGGCGGCGGCGAAGCTGCGGCAGGTGGCGCAAGCGCTGCCGGAGCTCGAGTTCATCCTGCAGGTGAACCAGGACACGGGGGCCAGCAGAACGTAAAACGGTAAAATGGGTGTGGTTGTCAAAATTAAGCCACCAGGAAATGGACCACAGGTTTTAGAAACCATGTTTTTCCATTTACCAGGGCAACCCATTTTGGGCACCTATTTTTGACCCACAGCCAAATCTTTTTCATGGGGCTGGGTTTGGGAAAGGCCAAAGGTCCGGTTTCTGGGGCGGAAGTGGGGAACCACTGAGGTAAAACAGCCATTTTGGCAGGATGGGTTTGGGTAAAAGAGCTACTTTGACAAGGATGCAATTGAAACTTTTCTTGCGTTGACTTGGCAGAGGAGACGGAGGAGCTCTTTCAGCTCCTTTTTCACAAGGAGCCAGCCCCGTCCGGACCCCAGAAACCCCCAAAAGTCCCCCACCCCCCCCTCCCCCCCCCGCGCGCGAGCGAGGGAGTCAGAGGAGCCAGAGGGCATCTTGGACCCTCGGCTCAGCCTGGCTCATGAGCTTGGCAGAGGGATGGTCATCCAGCTGGTAGAACGGAGGGTTAGCAGCACATACGAGGGTAGATCAAGCGGTCCTTCAGAATGGACGGAAAGCCACAACAGATGATGCTTGCCACTAAATGGGACCAAGCTACCCATCATTTTGGGGCCCTGAAGGGAATCTTGGTCTCAACCTGCAAGGGATTTCTATGCAGGGCAGCATGGCTCAGTTCCGTCGAGCTCCGAGATGTCCTAGGCCCAACCTGGTGGCGCTGATGGACGCCTCCTGCGGCCTGGGCAAGTCCCCGGAGTCCTGGACGCTGCCCGAGGGCTGCTCGATGCCTCGTGAGGGGAGGGCCCGGTCGCGGGTCGCGGGGGGAGGGACCCCGGTGGTGTGTTCGATGTTTGGATCGGCTGAGTTGGCGGCTCTTATAAAATATCATGCTTGGCTGTTGCCAAGCAAAAAATGCGGAGCCGCCAGCGCATCGTAGGTTTGGCTTCGGAGTGTCTCTCATCCTTTCGTTCCTTTGAAAGTCATACGGGGGTTCTCGAACGTGGGGGGCCCGCTTTGGGACCCCGATGTCATTTTTTGCCGCCTGTAACAGGAGGGTTTCAGGAGCCCGATGCATTCTCATCAACTCCGCGTTGTTTGCGGTGTTGGTAAGCTCTTTCTTTGGCATCCTTCTACCACTTGCTCACTACTCCAGGAGGACGATCATTTTGCATTTTTAAGCAACGCACACACACACACAGAAGTGGGTCAATTGGGCATTCCAGACTGCATTTTGTGTGGCAGGTGTGGCACGGTCAAATTTTGTACTTTGATGCACCACAATACTTCAAAGGCTTGCAGGGTGAAAATTGACCGCCCAAGACGTACTCTTTTGCTTCCAAAGGAAAAGGGTGTGAAGATTGAGCGGCGAACCAAGAGGGCAATCTGTTTCTCCCGTGAAATATCGTACTTGCAAATTTGATATCCGCACATTTGATCAAACACCTTTTATGCCACTATTTTGTTCCCAAGGCCCCTTCTTGCCCTTGGCAATTCTTTTTCTTCTTTCCTGTCCTTCCCCCTTGTCCAAAGGCGCTCGCAACCCCCCGGCCCCGCCCCCCAGATCCTCCGAGCCCCGCGCCGAGCGAGCCGAGCGATCCGCGCGATCCGAGCGATCCGAGCGATCCGAGCGCCCGAGGCGTGGCGCGCTTCGGCTTCGCGGGGGGCCTGGGCCCATCCTCGGTGCTGCCGCAGCTCGAGGCCATGGCGCGCGCCTGCCAGGCGACGGGCCGACGGGACGGCGGGAAGTGGGACGTCTCGCGAGGGCGGTTGGACCGACTTGGTGGACCCCGGATGTGTCAAGCCCGGCTTGCATTTCTGGGTGAAATGTGGGGAATCACCCCAGATGAATCAAGCCCAGTTTATTGATAGGGTGAAATGGGGTGATTTTTGGGGGGGAATCAGACCCCCTTTGGAGAAGGGAGCACTGAGCACCAGTCATAAACTGGGGTTGATTCATATGGGGTCAACACGAGAGCTAGAGGGTTACGCAGGTTTCACGTTTCGTGCCCGTCCAACTTGGCGTTCCCAAGCGCTCATTTTGCACGAGCCTGCCAAGTGAAAGAAAGGCACGCCCCGCTCAAGCGCAGCGCAGGCTCTGTCCGGACATGACAAACGCAACAGCACAAAGCGATAAGCGCACCAGCTCAGCACAGTACACACGCTTGCCAAATGGTAAGCACAATTAATTTGCTCAAGAGTGCCTGTTCAGCAGTCTGTTGAAATCTTTCGGTGCAACTCCGAGCATGATCCTTTTACATCTCAGCCTCGGAGCCGTCCAGACTCCTCCCCTTCAAAACTGATGGACATCTTGCAGAGGTCGTCTCCGTCTGCCTTGCAGGGCGGGGGAGAAGCAGCAGGTTGCCTGTCTCTGCCATGTCCGAGGGAAGGTGTTCGCCCAGTGACGGACTTCTGACCTACTCTAGGATTTCTGTTTTTGGCATACTCATCAAATTGAGTGGTTTATAGCCAAATTAAAAATCGCACTTTGCCCGAGTCAACAGATCGTCCATAATCAGTGGTCACAACCGAACTTTCACCACTTAATGTAATCTTACAATCCACCGCAATGATGATTTCGAGTGATTGAGAGCCAATGTTACCTATGCTTCTTGCAAGGACGCGTGATGCTTCTGGGGCCTGCCTCAGGCGAAGCAGCGGGAGGTGAGCGTATGGATCGACATGGAGTCCAAAATTCGCAGCAAGGATGGGGAAGCATGGGGAGTCAAGGGTTTCAGACGGAAAGCGACGCTCTCTGCCTTTGTGTGTAGCATGTAGGTGAGGCATGTATGAAAAGCCCTGTTCAACAGACGATGCGTTTGCAGTTGGCAGTCTTGTGAAGGCACGTTGCCTGCTTCAGATCTTCGCCGCCTGCGACATCTCGGCAGTATGCCTGTGCATATCTTCCTTCATTACTCTTCCGGAGGTGTGCAAACACAAGTATGATGGCATTTTTTTGGATATCCGCACAAACCCGATTCTGTTAAGCACGACAGACTGCCAGACTCAACCATGCTTTAGGCAATAAACGCCAAGGGAACATCAACAAACCGCGCCGTTTGTGGGGCCTTGGCGTTCGCTTGAGCCAAAGCTCGGGCTAGTGTAAAACCTCCAGATTTGGAGAAGGTCGGCCACTCCAGAAGAAAAAAACAAGCAGAGGGACCCCTTCTTGGTTCCCGTCCGAAAAATTGATGTGGATGGCCCTTGGATGGCCTTGATGCCCTTGCTGCCCCTTCTTGGTTCCCATCCTAAAATTTGGCGGATCCAGAAAATTTGGTGCTGCCCTTGATGCCAACTTGCTGGGCGGGCGGGCGGGCGAGGGGCCGGATGGCTCCGATCGCTTTGACCTGGAGCTGGTGAAGGCGGTCGCGCAGCAGCTGGCGGGCAGCCAGTGGCTGAGGAGCAACTTGTGAGGCGGGACATCGGGAGATCGGGCGGAACCCCCCATATGGGTGGCTTGCTGCGTTTCTTTTCCCTTTTATGTTTTTCCCCAGATGGCTGAAAGCTACAGGGGTTCTAACTTCTAATGAAGAGGGGAAGTGATTTGCGAGATTGATGCGCTGGTGCTAGGGGGCGTGCAGTTTGGGGTGCTGGTGAAGGTGCTGTTTGGGGCGCTGTTTGAGGTGCTGTTTGAGAGTTTACTGCGCATTTTTGCAACATTGACGGTAGGGTGCAAGGGGGCATGTAGTTTGGGATGCTGCTAGTGACGGCGCGGCCAAGTGCTGTTTCGGGGGGTGCTAGCACAATTGTCGGCATGTTTTTCGCTATTTGGCGTCTATGCTGGTGTAATGTTTTGTAACCCACTTTGTGGGCATCCGAGGGTTGAGGTTTTGCATGGGCCCGAAAATTCAGTTTCCATTGGGGGTAGTTCACATCCTCGAAAAAAGACGGATGCCGCCAGGTTGGGGCCCTAGAGAGTGCAGATCGACCTTAGGGCTGGCAGAACCCTCCAGAACCTATCCGCCTTTTTTCCCCAGCGATAAGGCGTTCTTACTTCTAAAGGGGCAGGCTGTTTTGTGAGTTCAGACCAGGTTGGTGCTGCGGGTGCTGCTTGGGATGCGCTCAAGGTGTTGTGGTGGAGCTGGTCCAGGTTGCTGTTGGGTTTGCTCAAGGTGTGTGCTCAAGTTGCTGGCAGTGCTTGTTTGGAGGGTGCCGGTCAGGGTGCTGTTTGGGGGGAGGGTGCTTTTTGATGCGCTCAAGGTATGGTGTGTTTAGGGTGGTCTGGCGTTTTTGCTGTCAGTGCTTGTTTGGCGATGCAACCAGGGTGCTGGTCAGGGTGCTTTTGGAATCTCCCGTGCTATTTGGGGGTCTCTGGTGTATTTTTGCTGTGCACATGGGTGTGTGGAGCTGAAAAGCCATACGCCCGCCAGCATTTTTTTGTATGCCAACTATTCCACAAGTCAGACGCAAACGCAGTTCTACGATTGAGGGGCATGCATTTGAGGCCCTTTTCCTGAGTTAGGAGCCTATCTGCCGTGTTTCTGGCGTAACAATGAATGGGCGGTTGGCTGTTGCTACCTTGCCTTGTGATGCCATACTCATTCTTGTTTCCTGGAAGACTTGATCCGTAGGCCTTTCATCTCAGCCATCACTTGCGCTGGCTGGCTCGTGTCAACACACTTGCAACTGTGTGGCCCTCATAGTTTCGAACTCACCAGTTCTTATCCTCTTGGCTTTCCCCTTCCACCTTGGCTCATTCCTGACTGGGGCAGAATGAGAAGCTAAGAGCCGAACGCTTTGAGCAATGACTCTGGATGCGGATAGTTGTTAGTCAATGTGGTGTTATGTCGCTTCTGTCTTCGTCCGTGAGAAGAAATATGCGAAGGGACGGCGTAACCAGCAGATTGGGACAGGCGAAGCTTGTGGAAATCCAACGGGCCCGCGGCAGGGCGGGAAAGTCATCCTTTTGGCTTACGAGTTGTGAGAGAGCCAGTGGCAGGTCCTTGCTCGGGTCGACCGAGGGGGTGACCCGGGGTGTACATCTTTTCCCATCCCGAGACCTGGGCATGGAATTAGACATTGTGTTGAGAGAGATTCGAACGGTTGGCCGAGTCGCACCTGGGTCTTGGGGGATTTGGGGCTTTTTGCGAAGCAAGGACTTCCAAAGGGAAGCCATTGCCGGCGACCGCCCTTTGAAACCGGCGCTATCGCCCTATGCCATCGAAAGACCTTAGGAAGGATGGGTTTTTAGCCAACGACTCCATGAGTTTTGATGATGTGTGGCGCAGCTTCAGAGAAAAAGCCTCCAACAACCGTGTCTGTGCGTTACCACTGAATTACAATATGTCAACTTTTTCGTTGGACGTGGTTCAGGAGACAGATCCATGACCCGTCTCTAAGGACCGACTTTCTGGATTCGTAGCGCGGCCCAATCTTTTGGCAGAGCTAAACCAGATCGGCTGAATGGGCTACTGACTCGCTTCCCTTGGAAGCACTCGGCTCTGCACAGCGCCTTTTTCCGCAGAATCGATTCTTCGTCCCTCCCTTCTTCGTTTTTGGGTGACCCGAAAGAAGCCAAGGCCCTTCCAGGGAGCTTGAGAACCGAGTGCGTCTGGCCCAAAGTTACACGAGCTGAAGCAGACCAAGGAAAGCAACACTAGAGCTGTTGCTGCTTGATGATACAGAGCCTGCGCTCAAGTCTTATCCCTTTTTCTGCCACGACCATTGCCATGTTTGACGCAAGTCGTCTCCATGAGCAAAGCCTATTGCCGGGTTGCATCAAGTCCGGCCTACGCGCTCGCGTGCCGGCTCGCGCCGCGCGAGTACCGGCCCGGGTTGCTTCTTGTTTGCGCGGACTCCGGCGGACTTTGCAGGCTGGATGCGAAGGCGGGGACCCATGGCGCGGAAAACGGCATGCGACAGAGATGCATCAAATGTGGGAAGCCCCCTGCAAAAACATGGGCTTCTTTCAATGGCTTCCGGGTACCCTTAAAAACGACGGGACCCACAGGGGGCCGTTGTGGGAAGGTCTTCACAGGCAGAAACCAAGAGAAAGCCAAATGAAGGCTTGGAAAGAAGTCTGGGTACCGGAAGACAAGCTGGACATGTCTGGAGAGGTTCCAAAGTTTCGACTCAGCTCCATGCCATCTTGGAGGGCCATCCGAAGTTGGGCAAAGGAGAAAGCCAAAGAACCTCACCGTGGTGACCGGCGGCGTAACAAACCTGAATAGTTTCCATGTTGGCTTCTTCTTTTGAGCCTGTGACGGTTTGAAGTCCGGCAGGTAAATCTGTCCTTGACGAAAACAAAGAGGCCAAGACATGAACCCAGGCAGCAAGCACCGCACTGGCACGAGTTTTGACATGCATTCGCTTTGGCTGGATTCAAAACTTCTCTCCCCAAACTTGACAAACGTGAGAGGATCTCCAGAGATGCGCTGGTTTGTTTCCCTGCGCTCGGAACCCCGTTTTGAGAGCATGCTGTTTTTGTAGGATCATGGGTGTTTCCTAGGTTTTTTTTAAGCTATGCCACTTGTGATACCGGCCAGGGTTCAATGGCATGGAGCTCCGACTTCGAAGCCTCCTTGCGTGCAGAGATCCAATCTGTGGTGCTGAGCTTAGCTCGGAATGCCATTCGCGGCCATGTTGTTTTTGGGGAGGGAGGGCAGGTGTGGGGTGGGGGGGTTGGTGGGGGGGGAGGTGGGTGGTGTGTGTGTGTGTGTGTGTGTGAGGGGGTGTCGGGGTGTCAAAATTGGGTGCCCTTTCTGGCATGCGCCTTTTGCCTGGCAGCAAGCGGCACAAAAGCGGCACCAAACAGGGCTTTTGTCTCCGAGGCAATGGGCCAAGGAATTGGATCTTTCAGGACTTCGAAAATAAAGTAACATTTTCACATGGGGCCAATTAGACACCCTCGCGCATCATGGAGTTCCGGCAATCCTCGGATACCACCAGCTGAATTGCAAGAGCTGAGGATGGAATGCTGAACAGCCTGCTGCAGCCCGGCGTGTAGGGAGCCCAGTTGTGCTCTTGCCAGATGCAAGGGCATGAGAAGGCCTTGAATAACCTCGAAGACATCGTTTGTCTTGCTTTGTTCTTGTTTGACTTGGCCAACCTATTGTTTGCCTCAGTTTGCCATGTGTTGTGAAGCAATCAAACATCTCAGTGGTGAACATGACAAACCGAAATCCCAGATTCCACTTGTGCCATGAAACAAGTAGCACCTTGGGGTCTGTGGGTCTGTGGGTTTGTGGGCGAACGACATCACCCAAAGGTGTCAAGGTCGATCGACGCAGGTCAGCGCCTGCGGCCCGCGAGCGACAAGGCGCCGGAAAAACAATCAGCCGAGGGTCTGGGGACGGATTTTTATTGCGCCGAAGATGTCCTCAAGTGATGCGGTGAGTCCGGTAATTTGAGCCAGGCTTTGAACTTGGCGTTTATTGTCTTGTCCCTGAGCTGAGTGACGGAGCTCCAACAATTCTGTTAGATGAACAAACCACACGTCACACCATAGAGAGATGATGATGGGGTGTTGGTCCCTTCCCAGTTGGACTCTGATTCTGCCGGAGCGACGTGTTCAAGACGTTCGCCAGCTGTGTGTTGGCTCAGAGGCGCGCTCGGAGCCATGAAGTGGTTTCTGGCCTTCGCGTTGCCCTGCATAGCGGCCATGAAGCGGGCCCTGGTGGTGGTAGACATGACCGTAGAGCAGGTGGGATGGGCTACGGGCGGGGCAGATGGGCTGGCTCAATGGTCGTCGCCGCAGCCGGAAGACCAAGGGCCCGCGGCTTGGGGCTCTGTGAGCTGCAGGTGGCAAACATCTCCTACCAGAAGGATGAGATCATCCAAACCATCCGGCGTTTGGCGCAGAGCGGCAAGTTTGCGCCTCGACCGAACCTCTCTGCTCGATCCATGCTTATACCTGCTTCGCACGGCTCTAAGGATGCAATCATCGACTCGCACTTATGGTTTGAGAAAGGCGCGGCCGGGATTCGTCAATCAAGTGGTCGCAGCGAACCGATCACGCAACCTGGTCAGGTTCGTGTAGACAACACATGAGTCGAGGAGGCAAGGTATATGCCACTAAGTGCGGTCATCCCTATTCTCACTGGGTTACAACTGCAGGCCCTTTGTTCTGTTTGCCCTTTCTGTCCAAAGGCTGGGACCCCATCCAACAACTGGTGGGTCCAGACCTTCGCCCATTCAAGGCTCATTGCATTGCGCTTTCAGCCGGGGGTGGCTTTGATGTGAGAATGATAGCTGCTCACATGGTCATCTGACAAAATTCAATCGAACGCCAAAGCGTGCGCACACACACAGACACATACATGCCAACACATGCTTGGCTACAAAGTCTGCAAGTTGAGCTGGAAGTTGATCAGTAAGGCGGACATTGCACGCGTTGTTTGCTTTTACGCATCATGCGTTTGGGTCATTCGATGATTGTCATGTAGTTCAGCTTCCGCAGCACAGGTTTCTTTTGCGATGTGCGTGGATGTTATTTTTGGTCCCTGCCATTTGCCGTGTTCCTTGGTTAACCCGAACCACCAATCCAAGCCACCAATCCAACCCATGCAAACGACCAACTGGGGCAAGATGATTGGTTTGGAAGGCGGCCCGCCGTCCTCCCTGGCAGAGATGTTCCCAAACATCGGGCACGCGGGCACCGAGGGCGCCAATTTGATCCCTGAGCTGCGGGACCTGGGGCTGGCCGCCCGGCGGTTTTTTGGTCTCGACGGATCGGCGGAGACTACGGGGCCTCAAAAGATTGGTGGGCCTTTTTTTGTCTCAACCACCCCAAAAAGGGTACCCTCAGGCAGGTAAGCTGGCTGGGTGTCACGCCCAACATACCAAAATTGGAACCCTTGATTGATCTTACTATCCATGCAAAAGAATCCTTGATGCCCGCTAAAACGCGGTTTTATCGATACCGCAAGTACACATCCGATAACCATTTCTTGTGGCCCCCGCCGCCCTTTTAGGCGGGAACGTGACTGCCTGTTTTTGCTTGCGCATGCTGACCACATGCTCCTGCCAAATAGATTTAATTCATGCTTAGCCCTTCCCCTTAGTGGGACGGCCTGATTTTTGGCTTCGGCCAGGATGCTTGCACTCGCACAATGCTTGCACACGCACACACACACACACAAGTCTCTCTCCAATTCCGTGTGCTTCAGCCCTGTGCATATAGTTTGGATACGGCAGTCCAGAGACAGGCTTCAGGTTGCGGCATCCGGCCCGAAGCTCTTTTCCTTCCCCGATTTCCAGAAGGTTGCATTGACCGTTGTGTCATTTGCGGGATTGGCCTGAGGAGTTTGTGAAGAAGTACCAGTGCCGGCCTTACTCCTCAGCAGCGGAATCACTAAAGGAAGCCTCTTTCTTTTGCTTGCATGCATAGGAGGTGAGAGGTGGTTCCCAGCCGAGAATCAAGTTCGTGCCACACATGACCCTGACACCTCAGGTATTCCTGCTTCGCTGGCGGTTCAGATTTGGAGTCCCATCTGCGCAAGCTCGGCATCGAGGAGGTGGTGATTACCGGCATCAATACGGACCGGTGAGCGTCAGTCTAATGGTCAGGCGTCAGACAGGGTCGGTACAAGGGAGGTTGCCAACATTTGCTCTATGATCATGTCTTATTTTGGTTTTAAAGTACTCCGGCTCTACTATTTTGGGCCCTTACAGTATCTGGATATGGCCGTCAGCAGCAGCTGACGTGTCTTTGCATCCTTTGAAATGGACAAAATCCTGCACCACCTAAGAAACCCTGGAATGGTGATTCCCCTGAAAATACCAGCAAGCAATGGTTTCCCATGGTTTCAAAGTGGTGCAGGATTTCGTCCATCCACAGTAGCACATCAAAAGTGCTTTGGGATCCCTCCGATTAGTTTTCAAAATAGGGCGTGTATTGTTCAACACACCTTCCACATTGAACCCCCTAGTCAACCGGAGGTGTTCCGAGAATGGCTGCTGGTTTTGCAAAGATTTTGCTTGAGGTACCTTTTGAGCTTCTTCCTTTGGTTCGCTTTGGGGCATGTGTTAGAATTGTGTTTTTCTTCCTTGTGGATTCCTTACAAACAACTTCCGACAGTCTGACGCATCTTGGCCACTGCAGGACTACTGCGTACTGGCCACTGCACCGCGGCCAAAAAAAGAAATGATGGGCCTCGGTTGAGTTGTTTGACCCACGGACCTGGGCGCGGGACAGCTCTTTTTGCCCTAAGATAGGCATCACTGCCGCGCTGGACCGGCAACTGTGGTGAAGTAGCGCGTTGACAGTAGAAGCGTTAGCCAACCAAGGCGGAATCAGACAACACGCACACAATTACTGGTTTCTATGCCCCAGGGCTTTGCAGGATTGGCGGACGGGCGTCTCCATATTTTCTTGGAGATGTTGATTCCTCAGCTAGTTTACTCCCACCTGTGATGCTTGGAAAGGGGCAAGCGCGCTGAAGCACCCAGCACTAGCACAAACACAGACATCACATGTGGCCGAATGGGCTTGGTCTGGCAGGCCAGACTTGTCTGCTGGCAGGCACCAGGATCACCCATCCCCAAGTTTTTTCGCTGCCGGGGCTGAGGCCTTGGACTCCTTTTATGCCATGTTCCAGACCCGCGTGGTGGAGTCGGGTGTCTCCTCCTTTAACGGCCGAGCAGGCCTGCATCTTTCGAGCGTGCTCTTTGGGTGAGAGAGCGAACGTGAACGCAAGTGGGGTGAATTTGATTGGTAAACTTCCGCTTGGGTCAGGAAACCGCACTTTGTTTGCAAGGGGGGCAGTGATGAATCTCGCCGTGGGCTCATTATTGAATCTACATCATTGACAGATGTAAGCAGGGGGGTGCCCTAAGTTTCTTGGGGCAGTGAGAAAATCTCGCCGCGGGCAAGAATTGAGAGAAATATGCAGTGGCGGTGCCCTAAGCTTTAGGGCAGGTAAAGAGCAGTCCCGGCCGCACATAGTCGCGGCCGCCTTTTCAATTCCTTACATGGTTCTGGGCTCACCATTTGTGTACCGATCGGTTTTGATGACAAACCCATGCCTTTCTGCGGGCCTCGATTTTTCTCCAGACCAACGCCTGGGCTCTTCGCCGCTTCGCCAGGCCACCTGGAAGGTCTCAAAGACATCCGCAGGTATTTGGGCGACATCGTGGTGGGGTCAGACAATTACCTGCCGGAGTCCGGAGCGTCTTGGCCGAGCGTCCAGGGAAAACCGAGCCATTGACTTGCTGCCCCAAACGCAAAAGCGACGGGCGGATTTTGGCACTTGTGAAGTGATGTTGCAAGAAGGCACGACTAGCTGCAAGGACTGGCCAAGCTGAATGGTATTGCCAAGTTTTTCCTGGGACACCTTTTGCATCTACATTTTTGCATCTTGGCGCAGACTAGTTGTGTCAAGGGCAATTCCCCACGCCTTTCAGACGAAACACCCTGCCCAAGCCCAGGGCGCTTTCATGTTCGTGCGATGCTTCTCTGCTCATGTGAGCCAGGTGGCCATTCACTCCTGACGCTTGCCGTGCAGAAGCCACGGCGCTCGCAACGTTTAGCTCCCGAGCCAAGGGACGCGGAACCATCTTGGAATGTCACGGGGCATCGGTGCCCCCGACCTTCGCCGAAGGCGATCCGTGGCTCCCCCTGGTCTGGTTCCGAGAGCATTGGTTTAGGCACGTGGATCGACAGGGCCGATGGCCAGAAATTGCGCGGATGCGGAGGGGGGGAGGGGAGGATTAGAATCTAAGAAGATGACATCTACCAGGTGAGCAAGTTTTGCTTGCTTGCCTGAGTTGTGCCCGACTTGGCCAACTCGCCAGCCACGACTTCAAGCGCACAGACTGCGCTTGGCCCCTGCATCTTACGTAGTTGGAAATGGCCCCGCATTGAGGGGATTTGCACAGATGTGCTCAAGATAACCTGAAAACAAGTCTTTGCCTGGTTCAGTTGTTTCCGTTGATTTGGTTGTTGTTGAGAAGAGAAGCTGGTTCATTGAGGAAATCAGCAAACGAGCGAACATATGCCATGAGAAGGAATAACACACATGAAGGAGCAAAGGCAGTGAATGCGTAGGTCTTGCAGTGTGAGTAGCCAAGAAAGCGAGTAGCCGAGTAGGAGTGTAGGGCAAGAATGCGAGTACACAGGTAGGCCAGCAGTTGAGCAGGCAAACAGGCAAGTGGGCAATTTGGTGAGTAGATGAGCAAGCAGGGCTTCAAGTGAGGGTGATTTCTTGGCGTGCGTGATCGGGTAAGCGCTTGCAAAAGGCATCAAGGGCGGCAGGATGGTTCAGCGTTCTGACATATCTGAATGAGTTGAATGATCGAACTATGCACTCTTTAAATGTTGCATGGCTGCTTCCTTGAACCTTGGAACTATTGTCGTTTTGTAAGGTATTTTTCCCAAAAGCATCTCTGATGCTTGGGTTCTGCTTTAGGTTTTCTCTTAAGGTGCCTGGGAGCGATACAAGCTGTGACGACGGAGATAAGAAGGGATTTCCATTTCGTTGTGCTGCAGACCGGGCGTGCGATGCCGGCTGGGGGTGCAGACCGGGCGTACGAGGCTGGCTGGGGGGACGGCGGTGTGGGGCTGGCTGGGGGGACGGCGGTGTGGTGCAGACTGGGTGCGCGAGGCTGGCTGGAACTGCCCGCGAGCGAGACTAGCTGGCTGGGGGGACGCAGACTGGGCGCGGCTGGAAACCGCCCACGAACGGCGGTGTGGTGCAGACTGGGCGCGCGAGGCTGGCTGGAAACTGCCCGCGAGCGAGACTGGCGCGGTGGACGCTCGCGACATACGGAAACCGCCCGCGAGCGAGACTGGCGCGGTGGACCCTCGTGCATGCGGAAACCGCCCGCGAGCGAGACTGGCGCGGTGGACGCATGTGACATGCGGAAACCGCCCGCGAGCGAGACTGGCGCGGTGGACGCTGGTGACATGCGGAAACCGCCCGCGAGCGGTGGACGCTCGTGACATGCGGAAACCGCCCGCGAGCGAGACTGGCGCGGTGGACGCTCGTGACATGCGGAAACCGCCCGCGAGCGAGACTGGCGCGGTGGACGCTCGTGACATGCGGAAACCGCCCGCGAGCGAGACTGGCGCGGTGGACGCTCGTGACATTCGGAAACCGCCCGCGATCGTGACATGCGGAAACCGCCCGCGAGCGAGACTGGCGTGGGTGAGCGAGACTGGCGCGGTGGACGCTCGTGATATTCGGACACCGCCCGACGCTCGTGACATGCGGAAGCCGCCCGGGAGCGACTCGTGACATGCGAAAACCGCCCGCGAGCGAGACTGGTGCGGTGGACGCTCGTGACATGCGGAAACCGCCCGCGAGCGAGACTGGCGCGGTGGACGCTCGTGACATGCGAAAACCGTTCGCGAGCGAGACTAACACGGCGGACGCTCGTGACATGCGGAAACCGCCCGCGAGCGAGACTGGCGCGGGGGACGCTCGTGACATGCCGAAACCGCCCGCGAGCGAGACTGGCGCGGTGGACGCTCGTGACATGCGGAAACCGCCCGCGAGCGAGACTGGCGCGATGGACGCTCGTGACATGCGGAAACCGCCCGCGAGCGAGACTGGCGCGGCGGACGCTCGTGACAGGCGGAAACCGCCCGCGAGCGAGACTGGCGCGGTGGACGCTCGTACCGCCCGCGAGCGAGACTGGCGCGGTGGACGCTCGTGAGAGGCGGAAACCGCCCGCGAAGACCGCCCTGGCGCGAGACTGGCGCGGTGGACGCTCGTGACATGCGGAAACGCGCCGAGACGCGCGGTGGACGCGTGAGCGGAAACTGGCGCGGTGGACGCTCGTGACATGCGGAAACCGCCCGCGAGCGAGACTGGCACGATGGAAGCTTGTGACATGGGGAAACCGCCCGCGAGCGAGACTGGCGCGGTGGACGCTCGTGACATGCGGAAACCGCCCGGTGGACGCTCGTGACATGCGGAAGCCGCCCGTGGGCGAGACTGGCGCGGTGGACGCTCGTGACATGCGGAAACCGCCCGCATGCGAGCGAGCGAGACTGGCGCGGTGGACGCCCGTGACGTGACGATGCGGAAACCGCCCGCGAGCGAGACTGGCGCGGTGGACGCTCGTGACATGCGGAAACCGCCCGCGAGCCCGCGAGCGACTGGCGCGGTGGACGCTCGTGACATGCGGAAACCGCCCGCGAGCGAGACTGGCGCGGTGGACGCGCCCGCGAGCGAGACTGGCGCGGCGGACGCTCGTGACATGCGGAAACGAGCCGCGAGCGAGACTGGTGCGGTGGACGCTCGTGTGCGGAAACCGCCCGCGAGCGAGACTGGCGCGGTGGACGCTCGTGACATGCGGAAACCGCCCGCGAGCGAGACTGGCGCGGTGGACGCTCGTGACATGCGGAAACCGCCCGCGAGCGAGACTGGCGCGGTGGACGCTCGTGACATGCGGAAACCGCCCGCGAGCGAGACTGGCGCGGTGGACGCTCGTGACATGCGGAAACCGCCCGCGAGCGAGACTGGCGCGGTGGACGCTCGTGACATGCGGAAACGCCCGCGAGCGAGACTGGCGCGGTGGACGCTCGTGACATGCGGAAACCGCCCGCGAGCGAGACTGGCGCGGTGGACGCTCGTGACATGCGGAAACCGCTCGCGAGCGAGACTGGCGCGGTGGACGCTCGTGACATGCGGAAACCGCCCGCGAGCGAGACTGGCGCGGTGGAGGCTCGTGACATGCGGAAACCGCCCGCGAGCGAGACTGGCGCGGTGGACGCTCGTGACATGCGGAAACCGCCCGCGAGCGAGACTGGCGCGGTGGACGCTCGTGACATGCGGAAACCGCCCGCGAGCGAGACTGGCGCGGTGGACGCTCGTGACATGCGGAAACCGCCCGAGCGAGCGAGACTGGCGCGGTGGACGCTCGTGACAGGCGGAAACCGCCCGCGCGCAAGACTGGCGCGGTGGACGCTCGTGACATGCGAAAAACCGCCCGCGAGCGAGACTGGCGCGGTGGACGCTCGTGATATGCGGAAACCGCCCGCGAGCGAGACTGGCGCGGTGGACGCTCGTGACATGCGGAAACCGCCCGCGAGCGAGACTGGCGCGGTGGACGCTCGTGACATGCGGAAACCGCCCGCGAGCGAGACTGGCGCGGTGGACGCTTGTGACATGCGGAAACCGCCCGCGAGCGAGACTGGCGCGGTGGACGCTCGTGACATGCCAGCGAGCGCGACTGGCGGTGGTGGACGCTCATGACATGCGGCAACCGCCACGTGCGCGGCTCCATGTGAACAGCCCGGCGCTCCAGGTACGCCATAATTGTCCTTTTTGCCGCCGCGCACCTGACCCGAACAAACGGTGCCCATGTGTTACTATCACGAACCCTCTCTTCAGAAGCTGTAGCCTCTTGGGGTTCGCCCTACTTATTTGGAACTCTTGTTTTCCAGTTTGCTGCCTTGCTATCTCGATCCGTAGATTAATTCATTGCTTGCTTGGCTTGGCTTGGCTTGGCTTGGCTTGGCTTGGCTTGGCTGGTTGGTTGGTTGGTTGATTGTAAGGAACGATATAGTCACTACCTGCCATTGCCAGCCATGATTCGCGCAAAAGCAACCACCTCAGCCTGATTGAGAAACACGATGCTTTTGGACTGTCTGGACAAGGGAGAGGGAAGGCCCAGTGCCGACGCTACTTTGAGTCGCTCTTTGCAGGAAGGCATTCTGAAATCAGGCTTTGGTCACGCTCCCCAAATCGGCTTTCTGGTCCCTGAAGCAAACCCAAATCTAGGCTTTGTAGCTTCTGAACCACCGGTAGCTTGTTTTCGCGAGATTGGGGGAAACGACATCAGCTTTGACATTGAATGGCCAAATTGCAGGCGCACAAACGCAAGCGAATCCAAGAGACCAATCCCAGCCAGGCGCGGCACCTGCAAGGCCGGGAATCGGGTTCCTTGAAAATGAGGTATTGCTTGGTACCGTCTTGCGCTTTGGTCTTCGTGTTGGTCATTTCCTATGACCCGTCTTATTCAGGCAGAAACTACGTGCTCATTGCTGGCTGGATGTGTTTCCAGTAGAGATTTAGCGAGACCCTAGACATCTGCCTTTGTGAATCTCTTGTCAACAACAGAGTGGCACAACGTGGAATGATGACCACCATAATTTGGGGACAGTATGAACAACCTGATCATTGACAGATGCAATTTTCATTAGTTGTTTGCTTGTTGGTTTGTTGGGACGCCATTGGGCTGAAAATGACGCCAAGTTTCGCCTGGGGGCCGCATTCGGCAGAGTGGACCATAGAAACTGACACGTATAGTGTACAGGAGGTAAGTGTTGGCAGAGCTGCCCAAGCGAATAGAGTGACTAGAGGACGTCGCAAGGCCCTGAACGGCGTCACTAAATTTCTGGTTCGTGTAAAAAACTGGTTCGTGTGTTGCTGGTGTCGGGAGCGTACAATTTATGCAGCCAACCAGCTTGGCAAAGCACGTTGAGGAGAGCTGGGCGGGTGCGGAATGTTTGCAATAGAATGATATACAACAACATCAAAGTGAGATCTTCCTTGCGACAGCAGCCATCATGAGAAATCTAACTTTGCAATTTCTTGTCTCATGCCAGATGTCTCAGTGAATATGGCTCAAAGCCAATCACACTTTTTTGTATCACTCGCACTTGGTTCCTTTTCACGGGATTTCAGAGGACAGAAGGTACTCTTACCTCCGAAAAATCGCCTTGGT